TATGAATGTTTCTGTTCAGTGCCCTGAGATGACTTCTGTTGTGATTTGAAGCTATATAATAAACTGAATTGAATTGAGACAAAAATGCAGAAATAGTAAAAAGCTCAGTAAGCGTCATTTGGATACTTTTGTGTTTCAGAAGGTAAATGACTTGAACATGTGAAACTGTTGTTTGATCTAACCCTTTTTGACTTCATCAAGGTTTGTTTCCTCTTTTTGGCAAATAGATGACATCTTCAGGTTTTTGGGGTACCAAAGTAATCAAGATCCATTCAGGCTGACAGCATTTGTTTTGACTCACAACATGTAAACTGCCTCTTTACATGTAAACTACAGTTTCCAACAAAGGAGTTCACTTTAAAACATCATCACTGGCTGGGGAAACATAAACATCTGGGCCCTGTTTGACATCAGACAGATGTGCATGTAAAACCTTCAGATAAGCAGAGGCAAGGACCTACTAAATATTTCCTCAGTGTTAAATATACTGAGCTTGTTGTTTGATTCACTCTATAAACTGAACCCTCCAGTGTCCAGATGTGCACCAAAATGAAGTCACTGATCTCTGGCTCCTTATTTTTGCACATCACAGGTTTGAAATAAAACACACAAATGTGGCACCAAGACATCCTCTGCTGATTTGAAGACAAGCGTAGTGTGAATGCCACAATGGGCAGGTGATGCGATTAAGATCACAGATACAAAGCAAGTCCCATAACAAACTAAAAATATCCTGAATTTTTAGACATTTCCGTCTAAATGAAGCCATAGTTTCACAAAATCTACACCGGAGACCTTTAACACGAGCTAATGACTAGTTTAAACATAGATTTTATACAAGCACATCTTCCTGAAAACTTTTTTTTTTCAAATGATCATTTTAACAAACCAGTTTTTTCACATGAATGTGGTCGATTAATTTTTATCCCCAATCGCCGAGCAAAGAGAGGGAATTGTAATCTCCAAACGTTCATCCAGTTATCTGACTTTTGCCCCATTCTTGCATGTTGTGGGCATAATAACTTGGAAAAAATAAGTAAGGTATCCACTTCCATTATGGTGTATAGCAGCATCTAGGTCTAGAAAGCTCACTTTCAAAAATTGGGTTGTCCAATACACTGTATACCTGGATTATTGAGCATGGACTTTGTTGTTTTCAACCAGTTTGACAAGACTGTCAACAAGGAAGAGGGCCAGCAACGGAGGAGGGGGCGTACCAAAGAGACCATCTTCACAAGCAGAACTGGTTTGTTCCACTTTTGAGTAAGCTGTTGGGGGAAGAATCTGTTTTGTTGTGTGTTTCCTTGACTGATGAAGTCTTCTGGACCAAAGGCGAAATGTTTCAGCACAAAAAAAAGAAACTGTCCAGATGACCTGACTGAAAATTTTTGGATTGTATACCTGGATTATTGAGCATGGACTTTGTTGGTACAAGTACTTGTTCCTTTTGGCTCAGCTTTTATAATACGCTGTAGCTGTTTTTCATTCCTGAAATGCAACTGGCCAGTTAACACACCTGGACCAAATGACAGCTTGTTAGCAGGCCTCTGCAGAACATTGACATGCTGAGGACAAAGTGACCATCATCAGGGAGAGAACTAAAACATGCAGGATACCTGCCCCCGAGGACTGACTTTGGACACCCCCGTTTTTGGGATGTCCATGATTTTCCATCGATTTAAATCAATATATTGATTAAATGATTAAAGATTCAATTATATTGTGGCAAAACGAAAACATCGATTCATATTGTCATTTTTAAAATACGCTTTTATTTTGAAATTCCCAAGGCACTTTTGTGTCACCATTTCCGTGCGCGGCTGCACTCTGCGGTCGCCTCAGCGACATGGCAGACGAGGCAGAAATCACAGATAGTGAAATTCATTCTCCTGCTGGATTTAAATCAAATGGACTGTAAATGGACTGTACTTATATAGCGCCTTTCTATCTGATCAAAATACTCAAAGCGCTTTACACTACAATCTGTGTCCACATTTACCCATTCATACAGCACTCTACTAGATCTCTACAAAGCTAATTGAACAAATCATTCTAAAGAGACTAGACAGTGCTTTTATCACATTCATATACCGATGGGACACACATCAACACTGTGGAAATATCTTGGATTCCAACCGAAGGACGGCTCAACAAACAAAACTCATGCCATATGCAACAAGTGCCAGTGTGAGTTAAAATACTCGGGAAACAACAAATTTGGCCATTCACCTGAAGAAGAAACACAGCATTGATAGCCATGTTACATAAGCTCAATATCTATTTTTGTTTCTTTATAACTGAAAGGTAATCAATTCAATTCAATTCAATAATACTTTATTAATCCCAAAGGGAAATTATTTTGTTGTTGTAACTCATTATCCTCATTTCATTAAGAGATGTTATAGATGCTGATGGCTCTTGTAAAGGTCCATCCCACAGTGGATCCTAAGAAACTGGCTGCAGATGCCGTCCGATCCATCCACCCAGACTCGGCTGGCCTCTCGGTTCCCCTGGACTGTAGGACCACCTGAATGCTGGGCAGAACTCCTCCCAGAGTGATAGCCACTCCTCCCAGCAGTCTGCTGAGCTCCTAGTCGCTGCGGACAGCCAACTGTAGGTGCTGAGGGACGATCCTGTCCTTCCGCTGTGGTGAGCCGTGTTTCTTGCTAGTTCCAAGATCTCAGTGGTCAGGCACTCGAGCACAGTTGGCAGGTAGATGAGAATGCGTCCACATAACATCCTTTTCAACTCATTTGAGAGTTGGGGCCATAGTTGAGATATTATTTGAGCTTTATCAGGGCACTTTTAAGTTAACTGGTTTAAAAAAAAATGTACTTAAACATGAGAAATGTGAGAATATACTGAACAAGTCATTTATTTTTATTTTTTCATTAAGAAAAAATGGTTTTTTTTTTTTTGTTTTTTTTTTTAAATGCCTGGTGCCTGTAATAAAAGAAATAAAATGGTTAAATCATACTTGAATTGTTTTTAAAAATTTATTTATATGTAAATGAGATGGGCATTTGATATCGCAATATATCGATTGCAGACTTGTGAATCGAATAGAATCGAAATCGTATCACGACAGACTTTGTGATATTGAGAAAAATCATATCATCATACAAACAAATCAATATAATATCATACTGTGGTAAAGCTGGTGACACCCCTAACATGTACTGTAAAATGCAGGGAATATATTATTTGTGGTTTACAGGTTTTATTAAGGCATGTGGTGTTGCCATGTAGCAGAGTGGTTCTACATGGCAATACATCATCAGGTGGTTTCAGAGAGTTACAATGTTCTGTAAAATCACTCAAAACAACACAGCAATGTACTAATATTAGAAAATATAATGTGTACTTTTCAAGGTTCAAGGTTCTTTGTCATTTGCATCACATGTGGTACATGAGGTGGAACGAAATTGTGTACACAAGTTCCCATTTACACCCAAAAATAGCAAAAGTATAAAATAAACAGTATACTAGAATCTAAGATATACATTTCACACTAATAATATAAAATAATACAATATATTAACCATTTGAATTTTGAATACTGTACTTGAGTATTTTTTAAATGTACATACTTTTGAATACTTAAGTATTTTCAAAAGTAAGTACTTCAGCACTTTAACTTGAGTAAGCTTTTGACTGAGCAACTTTTACTTGTAGTTGAGTAAGATTTGACTGAGTATCAGTACTTTTACTCAAGTACTAGAATTAAGTACTTTGTCCACCACTGCACATAACATATATTACGCATGTTGTGTGACAGGTTATTGCACAGGTAGTGAGTAACACTGAGATGAATTATGATGTTAAGGTAGTGACATACATGGTACAGCCACATAGTGCCACACCAATAAATATATTAGGTGTCACAGATGTGGCTTGGTGTTATTGCCAGTTGTTCAGTATTATTATCAAGAGTTCAGTAATCTGACATCTTGTGGATAATAACTGTCTTTGAGTCTTTTCGTGTGCAATGACAGACTCCTGTATCGTCTGCCTGAGGGTAGTAGATGAAAGAGTCCTTGTGCTGGGTGAGTGTGGTCCTTAATGATGCTGCGTGCTTTACACAGACAATGGCTGTGGTAGATGTCCTGGATGGTGCAGACTGCTACCAGTGATGTCCTCTGCTGTTTGCACCACCCTCTGTAGTGCTTTCTGGATGGTGCAGTTCCAGTACCACCCTGTGATGCAGCCTGTCAGCAGTCTCAATGTCTCAATGGTGTACATATAGAAGTTTCTGAGGATGCTGGAGTTCGTACCAAATGTCTTTGATCTTCTTAGGAAGTAGAGTCTTTGGTGGGCTTTCTTGACCACAGTGTTTGTATGTTAAGTTCAGGACAGATACTCAGTAATGTGAACGCCGAGGAACTTGAAGCTGCTGACCTGCTCCACCTCAGCGTTATTTATGTAAATGGTGGAGTGCTGGCCTCCACGCTGTTTCCTGAAGTCCACTATCATCCTTCATTTTGCTGACATTTAAAGAGAGGTTATTTTCCTGACACCATTGAGGGGGGAATTTAGAAATGCAAGTTAACAAGAACACGTGAATATTACTGATGGAAATGTCAAGGAAACAATGGGCAGTCTGATATTATAACCAAGAAAGACTTCCAATGACATGTGTTTTGTTCTTTTTGTGCCAAACAAATAAAAAAAACGTTTCTCTTTTTAGTGCCAAATTACCCAAAACTGATACTTACCTTTAGGTTTTGTCAGAAGGACAACAGGCAGAAGACTTATGTCATATGAACGTTCTGTCTTCCTTACTTTATGGGTCAAAGTTCAGGTGCTTTGAAAGCTCCCACCATGACCCAGCAGGCATAGTTACCACAGAAACGTCATAGCTGAAGTTTCAACTCACTGAAACTCTGCTGTTCCTGAAAATATTGTGCTTAGAGAACAATGTGTTTCTCAGGAGCTGTCTGTGAAAACTTGAGACTCTGTCCTGGGATTGACCTAATTATCTGGTCTTTCCTGTCTTGCAGAGACTGGTGGTGTGCCTTGAAGAGTCCATTTATATTCACAACATCAAAGACATGAAGCTGCTCAAGACTCTGCTCAACACTGCATCCAACCCCTCAGGTACAACAGAAGGCCCAGCTTGGTTCTGGGCCTCAACATCCTGCTGTTTATCCCAAATTGTTGACATGTGTTGACACAAATCCTCATTTTTTTAAATATTTTCTATAAAACACTCAAGATCATTGATCAGCAGAAACTGGGACTGGACCTGAGCTGGAAGCAGGATGTTATAAAATGGAAAAGAAAAATATTTGAAAAGTTCAGATAGAACAACGTTTGAGAGCAAACGTCCTGTCTGTTCTGCAGGTCTCTGTGCTCTTTCGACTGAGCTTTCCAACTCGTTCCTGGCGTACCCTGGCAGTGTCACTGTTGGGGAGGTCATTGTGTATGATGCCAACAATCTGGTAAGAAACAAATGCTGTTTTAATGGCACAAGCCAAGATAAGTTTTCCACAGATACATTTTGTTTCAGTGTTGTTCAGAGTCTGGGTGCTGAATGATTAGAATCCCCTTTTGTTTATGAGTAATGTTTAAATTGTGTTGATGTTTTTTAATTGTGGTTGCTCATCTTCTCAACTATCACTGAGTCTTTTTCAGTTTATGGACTTACTGACACTTTTCATTGATTATTGCTCACAGCCTAAATGCAAAAGATGGGCAATAATGTTTTTGCCTGTGTTGTCTGCCATAGTAGCAAAATATCTTGTAAAATGTATTCTTTTATCAAGACTTGAGCATGTTGTTGCTCTTAAAATCTCTGTTTTATCACGGTCAGATCATATTTGTCTGAGGTATTTTTTCTGTATCCATGGGAGAATGCTCCTTTTCCTCAGCAACTATTTCTTGTGGTGTACTTCAAGGGTCTGTTTTGGTTTTTTCTCTGTTGTCTTAATAATTCAGTTCAATTTCAATTCAGTTTATTTATATAGCGCCAAGTCACAACAAAAGTTATCTCAGGTCACTGAACAGAAACATTCATATACATAAAAGTTAATAACCCTTATTTATCTGAGAAGCCAGCAGACTGCTTTGAGTCTAACTTTGTCCCACGCTCTCATTCTGAGCAAGCATAAAGGCAAAAGTGGAAAGGAAAAAATCCCTCGTGAGGAAGAAACCTTGAACAGAACCAGGGTCAGGACAAGCGGCCATCTGCTTCGACCGGCTGAGTTTGAGAGGTCAGGAAGGAGGAATGGACACACTATGGCTGGTTGAGAATCGCATGTTAAGATAGAAATATTTACAAATACAAATTATTAATTTGTATGCATTTGTAACTATTCATCTGAAGAAATTAGTTCAATTTGATGCCATGGACAGTGGCTGAAGGCGGGGGCCTTGGCGCTCTGACCTTGGCTTACCAAAGCTGGCTCTTAGAGCATGGAATGTGACCTCTTTAGCGAGGAAGGAACCTGAACTTGTGTGTGAGGTTGAGAGGTACCGACTAGATATAGTTGGGCTCAACTCGCTGCACAGCATGGACTCTGGAAACAATCTCCTTGAGAGGGGCTGGACCTTATTCCACCATGGAGTTGCCCATGGTGAGAGGTACCGAGCTGTGGGTCTACTCTTAGCCCCCTGACTTGGTGCCTGTGTGTTGAAGTTTTTCCCGGTAGATGAGAGGGTAGCTTCCCTGTGCCTTTGGATGGGGGGACGGACTCAGACTGTTGTTTGTGCCTACATGCCAAACGGCAGTTCAGAGTATTTTGCCTTCTTGGAGTCCTTGGCAAGGGTGCTGGAAGGTGTGCCAGCGGGGACTCCTTTATTCTGCTGGAGGACTTCAATGCCCATGTGGATAACGACAATGTGACCTGGAGGGGCCTGATTGAGAGGAATGGCCTCTCAGATCTGAACTCGAGTGATGTTCTGTTGTTGGACTTCTGTGCCAGTCATAGTTTATCCATCACAAACACCATGTTTGAACATAAGGGTGTCCATAGGTCAAGTTAAAAAGTTCCACGGCAACAGGACTCCAGGGGTGGATGAAAATTGCCTTGATTTCCTTAAGGCTCTGGATGTTGTGGGGCTGTTTTCGTTGACACGTCTTTGCAACATTGCATAGACATCGGGGGCAATTCCACTGGATTGGCAGACTGGGGTGGTGGTTCCCCTCTTTAAAAACAGGGATCGGAGAGTGTGCTCCAATTACAGGGGCATTACTCTCCTTTGCATCCCTGGTAAAGTCTATTCAGAGGTACTGGAGAAGCTACTCCAATTGTTGGTCTAACTGCAGATCCAGGAGAAACAAGGCAGTTTCTGTCCTGGCCGTGGAACACTGGATCAGCTCTTTAGTAAGTAAGTAAGTAAGTAAGTAAGTAAGTAAGTAAAGTTTGTTTATAGAGCGCTTATCACAGACATAAAATCACAAAGCGCTGTACAATAAAAATCAGTGATAAAATATAAAAAGAATAAAACAACCATAAGAACTTCAAGAAGCACAATAAAATCATGACAGAACAAAAGTGTTTTCAGTTACGTTTTAAAAACCTCAACAGAGTCAGCAAAATGAAGCTGCATGTCATGATCAGCGGTCCCCGCTGGCCCCCATCTGCTCACTTCCCTGCCCCTTCATGACATGCTATGTTTTCTGCCATTCTGGTCATAGTTTCTGTTCATGTTTATTCTCATCTCCTGTCAACCTGCACCTCTGCTTGCTCACTTCACCACACCCCCTCAGCTTATCACAGCAATCAGCCCTGATTCCACTCACCTGTTCAGCTCATCTAGTTCACCTGCTCTGCACCCTTCATAAGATCCATTTTCCCTCTCCACCAGTGCGTGATTATTACACCTTCCATGGTCCCTGATTTTCAAGCCTTCATAGTTTCATGCCTGAACCTCAAGCCTTGTTCTCTGGATTATTGACCTCACGCCTGCCTTTTGGATTTCCCATTTTTTGCCTGCCCCTCATCTGGTTCTGTTCTGCCTCTCTGACCACGGTAACAACCTCCTCTTCAGTCTATGACCTCAACTCACGGATCACCCTTTTGGATTGCCCTTTGGACCACAAACTTTCATTGCCCCACTGTCCATAGCATTAAAGGCCTCCCTCTGCAGTTACCAGCAGCCTTATTAATAAAAGCTGTTAATTTTTGCACTCCTGTGTCTGGCTTATTTTGAATCCAAAACCTTGGTTCGTGACAGAATAATCTCGCCAATAGGGATTCAAAGCCAGACCAGGAGTGGCTCTCAGGGGTCAAGAGCTCCCTAACACGTCTGGACACTCAGTTACAGTTTGTTAAAACTATGCTCTGTGCCAGGTTTTGCCTACCCACCCCAGTGACATTTCATAGCCCATCTCCTGCTGCAGCTCTGACCCCATCTCCTGCTGCAGCTCTGACCCCATCGCCTGCTGCAGCTCTGACCCCATCGCCTGCTGCAGGGCCCCAGGTCTCCACGCCGCCTGCTGCAGGGCCCCAAGTCTCCACGCCGCCTGCTGCAGGGCCACAGCTCTCCATGCCAACTGCTGCAGTTCCACAGCTCTCCACGCTGACTGCTGCAGATCTGGCCCCATTGCGAGGTATTGGAGGGTTGCCCGGCTTTTCGCCCTTGACATTGCTAATTGTCGGACAACCTCCTGGCTGCCCACCCGGGCCCTGTAACAGCTCTGGACGGCCGTTCTGGCTACCAACCTATGTCATACCCTCCTCCAAGACCCTCTCCACCCACCAAGTTCTTTTCTTGCCTGCCTCCGGACCCCCTCCACCCACCCAACTCTTGCTAGTACTTTGCTGGTAGGTCCGTCAGGATGCCGGACCTTAAAAGGGGGCTATGTCATGATCAGCGGCCCCC